CGTTGTGGCCCTGCCGGATTGTGAATGAAACAGAAATGCTTCGCGTTATTCGGGCAACAAGGTCTGGCCGTAGAGCCTCGCTCCTCAGCAAAGATATTCGCAAACTGGAAATGAGGCCGACAGCGCTTGTTCACCACAGCCCTCGCTGCTGTTGCGCTCCGGTCCTTTGACTTCAACATCAACACGAACCAGAAGGATTTCGGCATCCCCGGCAGGGACGGGGACTTTGGCTTCGGGTCGAGCTGCCTCAGCCACAGCCACTGGCAGGGCGGCGGCTCTTACTGCTGCCAGGTTGCGTACTTGAATACGAACGGCAACGTCGGCACGGTTACGATGACGGCCAACACCAAGTCGACAGGCGCCGACGCGCTCGGTGGCAAGACGGACGGGGCCACTCTGAAGAGCCTGGCTACCGACATCCTGAACACCTGCTGGTCCGGCAATGGTGATCACTCGGGTCGGTGGGCGGGAGCTGGATTCCAGGTTGGGTTGAGCGGAGGCACTTGCTAGATAGGTTTTACGATTCCGAGTGCTGACTCAAACGAGACGTCCAGGACGGTAACGAGGTCTATTTTGTATCTTCTTCATTGGCACAGGTCAATGTATTTTATTTGGATCATGGTCATCCACTTGCTCGGAGGCATGTTAGTTGCGGGCGTATGTTAATGAACTTGTATCTTGAGGCTCTCGAGGATGGTGAACTTGACGATCTTCCGGTAGGTTTATTTCGAGACAGGATATCTGCCGCCAATACACAAACTGATTGAGACTGCCGACGGTGGGGTGATTGCCACCCTAGCTGCTCTCAGCGATGGCGCCTAAACCAGACGACCTCAAGATAAACTAAAAACCCACACAGCGACACGCGACGCATTCGCGATAATACATTGCATGATGGTACAAGTACATATGTGCAGAGTATATACATTCGTAGTAGCGACTGGAGGTTGTGATTACCGCATATCCCAATCATCTAGTTCGATATCGTGCAAGTCACAGGGGCCCTGCTCGGGTGCAATGCTTCTCCTCCTAACACGACTACTTCCTTCTTGTGCGTCCTCTTCATGTGCGTCCTCCCCACCCCACCATGTCCTCCACCTGCTGACAGGGGTGCTGGACGCCGGCACCTCGTCGATGCCTCCCTGACAGACGTGCGAGTTATCGCGCATCAGCTCTGGTCTGCCATTGCCATAGCCGACGAATGGAGTATGGTATCCCGTATCCTGGGAGCACCATCTCTCCGTCCGGGAACTCTGAACGTCGCTAAGCGAGAATTCGGGAGACGTCGTTCGACTCTCCTCTGGCACTTCGGGCATGATCTTGGGCCACGGGAGGTACTCGGACACTGGACTAGCCTGGGCGGTGTCGCTCATCGAGGCCTCTGAGCCGCTCCCGCGAGCGCCGACTTTAGTGCTTTGACTCCAGGTCTCGGACACAGGGTACATCGCGGATGATGTGGAGTCGACCCTGGCGAGACCCGAGTCTACTGCCATGTCCGCCATCTCCTCAAGCTGGTTTGCTTGCATCCGGTCTCTGACGAGTCTTCTGATACTCAATAAAAGATGTGCACCCTAAAAGACAAAGTCGCAGTTAGTCGACGGCTGATGCACCAGAACGATACGCCGCGGACGATAAAAAGGGAAAGCAATGGTATAGGAAGAGTCATACGCACAGAATATGAGATGACGGAGCCCAGCCAGCGTCTGTGGACACGCAATGAGTCCGTGATATAGAAGAGACGCGTTCGCGTGAGAAGAACATACACCAGAGCGCCGCCGGTCAATCTCAATCCGGGAATGTGCCAGGAGATCGTATAGAACAGAAGCGCAACTACACTGAAGATTAATATATGACCCGCCATGACCTAGCGGAGGACGAACCAAACATCCTAGGCAATATCCGTTAATGCCTCAACAAATTAACCTAATGGAAGACACCACTTACAAGGCGAAATACACGGTACCGTCCTTGAAGAACTTCACATGAAGGGGCGTTTTTCTACCGTACGCGTTTCTCAGGCACTTATAGGCCATCAACGCGAACAGGATGAACTCGAATATCAGAGTTGGAACCCTAAATATCATAGATGCGAAAATGGTACTCGCGGTAGACAAACGATGACACCTACCAGCATTGCATGAAAAACGTTGTATCGGCGGACATGACACACCCTCGAATCGGTGAACCCGCAGGAAAGGGTATGAGACCAGGGATAGCGACAACGAACCCCATTGCTGCGACGACACCAAAAGTCTACCACAGCGTTAGACTGTGTTGTGAAAAAGCTGGACTGTGTACGTACAATCGCCTCCCCTGGGACGGTGAGGAGTCGGTGAACTGAGACCGGACAGGGTGTATCGGGACTTACCGAAGAGGAGCAACATTAGAATCATGAGGACGATGCGGTTGCCGCCGTAGAGCGCTTGCACTCGGAGGATCATAGAGATCTCCACCGCGCACACCAAAGTCACAAACGAACTAGCGGTGAGATGAACACTCGACCACAGAGTAAGAAAGATGGGGATACTCACGCGGATTCAAAAATGAGCCAGGATAAACAGCTAATATCAGGCGAGCCAACATGAACAGTGGACGAACGTAGAACAAGTTGGTGCACGTACTACATCGGCACGGCACCAGTAGCGAAGAAGATTTGCATGAAGAGGCCGAAATAGCGAGCTATGAAGTACAGGAGCTTGGGTACGGACGTGCGGGATCTGGACAACCAAACGAAAGACATTCGTGAAAGTGAGCTATGATATACGGCAGATTAAGGGTCAAGCTAAGACGTACTTCCAAATGAGCTCGATTTCATCGTTCAATGATATGAAATAATCGTATAAAAGCCAGGCAGTGGCAGCAACTTCAAGGAATCGATTCCGTTGGTTTCAACAAGCGCAAGAGGGTCTACAGACAAACGAGGCTCACCAGCGTTGAATTTTGTTATCCACGCGTTGTCGAGAACTTTGATAAAGGCCTGAGGAGGTAGTGCCATGCTTGACATGGCTGCTGCGCGGAGCAGACTGGGCTAGAGCACTGATGCGACAGACAATTTGCTGGAGGTAAGGAGATTGAGGACACTGCCTGTCTCTCCTACCCCATATCCTCACCGGTGCCCCGACACGGACACGCGCGGAAGGAGGATAGCGGCAGACAGCAGAGGGAGAGTCACGCCCCTGCAATACACTCGCGGCAGCACATCCACGTCGCGGCAAGGGTGGCTGCACGGCTCGGTCCCGCCTGCAGTTTAATTAAGACGGCAGCGATCGGTGCGCTCGGACGGTACACCCGGGTCATCGACAGCGCGGCCAGTCTGAGACATACAGTAGCGCAGAGTCTCTTGTTCGAAACCACACGCGATGACAGGATTGTATCTATTCAAGCGGCCGAAAATAGTGGTTTGCTAATGACATTCGAAGATAAGGCGTCCAGACTGCTCGTCAGATGGACGCAATTGACTCACCAGAAGTACTAATTTTAATGGTGAAATTTTGGGAGAAAAGGGGATGATTCACAAGACCCTAGCGGTATTTCGACCGTTCGCCTTACGCGAAAGGCCTGCTTTCGTTTACTTGAGCGCAGGAGGGTTGCCGCCAGGCCCATCGGGGCCCCGCACATGTGCATGGGCGTGAGGTTGGCACAAGCATAGGAGGATGTTCCAGTTGAACCTGCGATCGTCGATCGGGATCTGGCCGGTACCTCTCGAAGCTGCACAGCCACTTCTTCGAAGAACTCCTTCCACAAAGGTTCGCACGCCACAATGTGGCCTCGACCGCCACACATGCATAGGACCCCTGATAATAGGTATCAAGGCTTTGTGGAAACGCGGACAAATCAAGCCAAATTAGACCTCACCGGGCCTTATTTTTCGCGGACAGAAAGGCCCAAAAACGGGTGCACGTCTGATTTTTTTCGCGGACATATATACCATGCGCTATCGATGCCTTATGCTTGTGCGGACATCTATAGTCTCGTGGTCCAGGGGTTACCGCTTGACCCATGTATGATTGGTTGATTCCTGGATACTAGGTTCGATTCTCCTCCAGGCATGTGTTTTCAACTTTTTCTCTATACGACGGATGTGGCCATTGTGGGTCCCTATCCCATCTCATAGTAGACTAAGTCTATCCAGCATTTATTAAGTTATTGTATTTCACATACTAGAAACATGACTGTTTCTATTTAACGAGTTCCATCTCGAATCGGAGATGGCGGAGTTGGCTCCCGCAGTGGAAGAACTGGCAAAATTCCGCCGCAAACGCAAGGCGGCGAGCGGTGTGGACATGATTTCTGACGGTGAATAGAGTGGTGCTATAGATATACATTACTAGAAGAGCAAAATTGATACATTTTAATGCCTTATCCTACAGCGCGGACAAAGGTCTTGTAAGCAGAGCCCTGATCAGAATCGCGGACATTTTCGGCCAAAATCCGCTCAGGCCACATTTTTCGCGGACAAAACGGCACCAAATCCGGGAATTTGGCGCGAACAAAAAGGTCGGATTCTCAGGATTTAAAGTAAAGCCTTGATACCTATTATCAGGGGTCCTACATGCATACGGTCAATTTAGAAGGATTCCGGCGACTCAATGAACACCGTAGTTGACATATAATGCCGATACTGAAGTCGAAAGCTCGTTTGTTTCCAAAATTATTCAATTCGAGTCAGGCGGAAAACGATCTACTTGCTCTATAAGATCCTCCGATAGACGCACATTTGCTCCATCCACAGTAGAGCTGGATTTTCTCTCCAACTGCGGGGCCCCTGCAATTCCCTCCTCGCTAGTATCGGATTTGGACGGTCTTCTTCGCCTTGCGCACACGCCAGACTCCGCGTCTGCCGAACCAAAATATGCAAGCCCTGCGTCGACAGCCACGTCTGCTGCGGATGCTCTGCGATGCGCGACGACTTTGCGGAGGCCGAGCAGGAGGTGGGAACCCTGAGTGCGTGAATTGTGCGGTATAGCGGAATATGATAGAATAGCGGAGTGTGATAGAATCGTGGAGGTCACGCAGAAGTAAGTGGGAGTACGAAGTGAATGGAGGAGGATGTACGCACTGAGTATGAAACTGCGGATCCCATCCATCTAGCGTGAACAGTAAGTCAATGAGAAACGTACGGGCATCAATCGGTAGAGACTTGCATCAAAGCGGCACTAGCAAGCCTCGTCCTCGAGATATGCCACGACACGGTATAGAACAACAGGGCCACTAGTAGCACCACTATCCTTCAGGATATGTACTCGTTAAGACCACCAGGTGGCATGCTTACCGAATGTCCTGAGGAGCGAAATAGCTTGTCAGCATCCGTCATACAAATGGACGGGAGAGGTGCATGCAACACGCACAGTGCATAATAGACGATCCCATCCCTGAAGAACTTGACATGCGTCGGGGTGTGGAACCCAGACCGGAACCGCGGTCCGGAGGCGAGGCACTTGTACGCCGTCAGAGAGAACAAGAGGGACTCGCAGATCAGGGTCGGTAACCTTCTGCTCGTTAGTAACCAAAAATGACACGGCGAGGTGCATACGTACCAGCATAGCTCGAAGATCTTCGGGATTTTTGTCATGATGCACCCTTTGATGGGCCACTGCTCCGGGAAGGGACGGAGGGAGGGCGTCGCGGCCCTGTATCCGATGACAGTAATGATGCTGAAACACTGGCAAGACATAAAGTGTGGATAAACGTGAAGTGCGAGCTGGAGGGAAGGGACGTACGAGTATTTCAACTAGAAGTGAAATCGCGTGGGTGAGCGTGGTCGACAAAGGCGAGACAAAACGGTAGGCGACACACCAGCCAGAACTGAGAGTAAGAGGACGAGGACGGTGCGGCTGCCGCCGTACAACGCCTGGATGCGCAGGATCATGGATATCTCGACGGCTGTAACGGTCAGCGCGAAGGTACTGTAGAGATCGGCATCGCTTTCAGCATTGCTGCGTCCAAACAATAAGATAGAAAGAAGATCGCACATCGCTTCAAACACCAACCACTCTTTACAGCTGATACCCGACAGTCGTTAGTGAAAGGCAGATATAAAATGAAGATGTGGCGCGTACTACAAGGGCTGCGCACCGGCAGCGAGGAAGACTTGCATGAACATGCCGAAGTACCGAGAGAAAAAATAGAGGTATTTGGGTAAGGAATTCCGTGACCTGAAGCAAGTCATAGATCGTTATGTGAAGGTCCAAGAAAAAATATCAGACGAGTTCTTACTTCCATATAAGTTCGACCTCGTCTTCGATAGAGATAAAGAAATCCCATACTAGCCATGTTGCCGCAGCAACTAAATAAAAGGTGAGAATACATAAAACGTCACAGGACAACGCATACGGAGAGCTTGGACTTACTGGCGTTATACTTCGTTATGACGGAGTTACCCAGAAGAAGGACCAATAAGCCCGGAGGTATACCAGGCATTTACTAGACGGTCCCTAGAATGGGTAGTAGAAGTTTGGATGAAGTGCAGTTAAATCAAAGGCGAGCGGGATAATGGGGAACGAGATGAGAGCCGGGCGGGGAACGTGAGGACATCAACTTGTGCGACAAGGGGCGGCATCAGGAATGTGTGCCAAGGTACCCCGAGTGGTGACGATCATAGGCCCGTGCAGGAATGGCCTAGGGATGATAGCATAGAGTATGATTTCATGCGAGCCTGCTACTTGCTTCCGCGCGGATGCGTGATCGACACATCCGGTGGACCCACCGTGGCGTTGGGCGGTTACATTCCCGCCCCTGCTGTTTCTCTGTCCGACGCAGCACTGATGAAGCTGAGTTCATGCACGATGTAATTCATTAGAGGTGGCGGACGAGGGCGAGTGTGGCAGACCAGACCCTGACGCCACAACCCACACTCAGGCTAGATGAGCACAGCCACCGACTGTGTGCCACAATCGTGGGACATTTGCTGATAAGATTAGATCCACCTCGCTGTAGAATGGATAACGCGGCTCAATCCTCGTCATCGATGTCTCCATTCTTCACCCCCGTCCTCACCAATCCATCCATCGCTCACCTCCATCCAGGATGATCGTCGTCACCGGCGCAACCGGCGGGCTCGGCTCCCAAGTCCTCAAGTACCTCCTCACGCTCGTCCCCCCCTCCGAAATCACCGTCTCGCTGCACAACCCGGCGGGCCTCCCGGAGCACCTCCAGGCCAGCGGCATCCACGTCCGCCGGGGCGACTACGGCGCGCCGGAGACCCTCGACGCCGCGTTTGCCGGCGCGGACAAGGTGCTCATCGTCTCGTACCCGTCCATCGCGCACGAGCTACGCGTGCGCAACCACGTCAACGCGATCGATGCGGCGAAGCGGGCGGGGGTGAGGCATGTGTATTATACGAGCCTGGCGTTTGGGTATGGGACGAAGCCAGAGAGCTGTGCGGCTGTAATGCAGGCCCATTTGGACACGGAGGCGTACTTGAAGAAGAGCGGGTTGAAGTATACGATCATTAGGGAAGGGATATACAACGAAAGTTACCCGCTCTACTTTGGTACGATGTTCAGTTGCGCATGACACTTCTTCCACTGAAGTTGGTTAAGGTTTCTTCGACCCGTCGAAAGACAACGAAGTGTTCGTCCCAGGAGACGGCCCCATAGCCTGGGCATGCCGTGAAGACCTGGGCGAAGCAACCGCTCGACTGCTCGCACTCCCTCCCTCCGACTCCCGTTTCGACAACCAAACCATCCTCTTCTCCGGCCCGCAGGCCAACCTACTCACCCTCGCGCAGTTGTCCACGCTCATCTCGAACATCCTCGGACGGGAGATTAAGCTCAACATAGTCTCCATCGATGAATACGTCCAGAAGCACCTCGACCCCAGCGGGCAGAACGTCAGGGGCACCGAAGACTTCTTGAGGAAATGGGCGACGACGTTCGAGGCCATGAAGAGGGGCGAGACGGCGATCGTCGATCCGCTGCTGGGCGAGATTGTTGGGAGGCCGTTGAAGACCATGGAGCAGAGTCTGAGGGAGCAGCTGAGTGCTCATGGGGAGGGCGTGGCAATAGAGCAGTACGCGAAGTAGGGGGAAGGAGGTAGGCGGCTGGGCTTGCCCCCCCCCCTCCCCATATTATCTGTTGCTAAAATCGTCGATCGCGTAGACGCGTTGCACTGAACAGCGCACGCGAGAAGATGCAAATTCAATGTATCAATATGATTCTCAGTAAGGTGATCAAGCTAGCTGGTTATTCTTACTTGCACGTTTAGCATGAAGACGCAAAGAGCTCCAGGTACGCCTTCCAAACGAATGCTACTTTACCGGTACTAGTATTTGGGCCGAACTGGCTACGAATGGATCAGGATTGGGTCACTTTTGTATCGTCTAGCCGAGTCGTCCTTGTACCTCGTAACTTGGATCAGACCTGAAGATTACTAGACTCACAGGTTAATCCCTCACCAATCTGAAACGTTGCGCTCGGGCTCGACGGGGAGATGATCGATCCAAATGCTCTGCCAGTGATCAGCTTCTTCAATGTTCCTGCTCGACTGCGGTGCGCGCTCTACCGGAGAAATCTACTGATAAGGGCGCGAGCGCGTGATGGGTGATGTTGGCGTTCTGTCAGCTGGTACGGTGTCTTTCTTCTTTCTCCTTCATTCAGAGAAACATATTCATGTCACAACGCGCCCTAAGGGTGTATGCATGGACTAGCAGCGAATCCTCTTGTTGTCTTGTGGGATGGCCTGGTGCCACAGGCATTCCCGATAAGGTAAGACATACTATAAATGTACATTGTGCCTGTCACATAAGTCAAGAGTCACGCTCTCTATTCAAGCTGTGACTCACCTTCAACGCGCTCCATTCCAGTCCATAGATATAGCCCCCTTGCATGTCCATAACTTCGCTGGGATTTTTTTTTTCTACGTGGGTACGTTACCAGACCCCAGCGATAGATGTACATTCTCGCGCCCACCGCCCGAGCAATATCTGTGCACATCGATAACATATGCATCATAATCTTCATCGCCCTCACCGGAATAATCAATGCCGAAATGTGTTTGGAATCGCCATCTAGGTTCACCATGTTACAGTTTTACAAGGACTTGTTTGGCTTGGAAGTTGATCTTTCTGTACCAAGGCTTACGGCGGCCACGACCGGGACCAGTCACTGGCGCCGGCATCTTCTTCAATGTTACTCTATCCAGGACCTGGATGTTACTGAACTTTGCAGGAAACATTAAAAGCACAAGGGAGGCAAATACTCCCCTACGCGCCGAAGATAGCTTAAATGTGGTTAAGACAGACGGAGTTAACAAGCGCTGAACACATCAACGGAGATATCTCCTGACGATGCGCTCGTACGGTTACCCAGTTGTCCTTGCGGTTCTTGCCTGAGAAAAGGTGTTTGCGTTCCATGGGTACGCTACCTTGGCTGTATCGATGTCCACTCCCAGGGCGTCCGGACCACTATAAAAGCCCTGCTGTTTCTTGCTGTTAATCCCAGGACCGGTTCCTCCACACGACTCATCGACTTCTTTGCACTTTCTACGACTACTCATCTAATTACCGCTCACTCTTTACTACACCTTGTGAGTCACAAGCTTTACTCCCGCTTGAGCAGACAACTGATACAGCATTGCAGCCACTCATAATAATCACAATGCGTTCCACGATTATCGCCCTCACCGTCTCCGCCCTCGCTTCCCTCGTCGCAGCGGCCCCCGCTCCCGGGGACGGCCGCGTCTTCTGCGACCAGGGCGACAAGGGTATCCCCCAAGCATTCGCGCAAGACATCATCAACCAGCTCAACACGAACCTCCAGGACTTCGGCGTCCCCGGCCGCGACACAGACTTCGGCTTCGGCTCGAGCTGCCTCAGCCACAGCCAGGGTGGCGGCTCCGCCTGCTGCCAGGTCGCGTTCCTCAACGAAGACGGCACGCAGGGCACAGTCACGATGACCGCCAACACCCGCTCGACGGGCGTCGACGCCCTCGGCGGGCAGACGGATGGCGCTACGCTGAAGAGCATTGCTGAGGATATTCTCAGTACGTGCTGGTCTGGCAACGGTGACCACTCCGGTCGGTGGGCGGGAGACGGGTTCCAGGTTGGCTTGAGCGGAGGCACTTGCTAGATAGTTCCTATCAAGCAACCGCTGGAGGAGTGCAAGGGGGGAGCGGGGATGATTATTTATATCTATTTTCTGAACAGCTATAGGGCGGAGTACTTAAGTCACGTATCTGTTCAGCAGAATTTCATGGGTCGATGACATGTAACCATCCGCCGGTCCTCGGGCCCTGCCCAGACATGACTAATGTGGCCATAGAAGACGTGCCTGTGCAGTAAGTGCAACCACAGAAACAATTCTGGTGTAGGTGGTCAGGTTTTCTAATCCTGCCAAACCAGCAGCACATCGCCGGTGCCACAACAGTTAGTACAAGAGCTCTATATATATGGCAAAAGATACCTGTCTGGAAGGTAGTCCCGGCATTACCCGCACGCCTCCGGCCCACGGTCATGGACGCCCTGATACAGTATACTAGTACTGGTTCAGACCTACTAGTAAGGGGTCAAATCTCTCAGAATCGGTCCAGAAGAAACGCGGGGGTTGGAAGCCACGAATCGAACACGGAATGACCTGCAAGTACGTGAATATTCTGCGGTCGCTCGCAGCACCGCATGGCCAGTGCAGTCTAAGCAAGCGTATACGTGCATGTATATCGCATTGGCATATATTTGATACAGCATGGTGTCTAAGCATATACGAGAGCATGCGACAGCCACTACAAATACAAAAGCACGAACGATGACAATCCATCCTAGAGCTAGCAACCTCGTGGAAGATACGGGGATTAAGTTGAAAACTAAAGATACACGCGAAACCCGTACCAATCCCTTGCCGATTTGTGAATCACACCATCGATGCGACATTACTTCTTGCCTTTCTTGCCCTTTCCGCCGCCGCCGCCGCCACCTTTGCCCTTCTTTCCCTTCTTCCCTGCACCACCGCCAGTATTACCGGTGTCCTTCTCCTTTTCTTCTTCTTCGCCTCCCTCTCCAGTTGCAGCAGTCTCTGTCGTAGCAGATGTTGACCTCGACAGATCTGGAGCGGAGGGTACCTCGAGCCCACTGGTTTCAGCAGGAGCTTCGCCGTCCGCAGGAGCAGCGTCTCCTTCAGGTTTCGGCTGCTCTTCTGAAGCGGAAGGTTCAGCAGGCTTCGCATCCTCGGAGGGAGCAAGCACGTCCGTGGACCCGCCTGCGTTCGCTTCTTCTACCGGTTTGTTCTCTTCAGGGTTCGCACTACCACCTTCTGGCGGAAGGACTGTGTCCGACGGTTTCGGCGTCGCGGTAATTGTAGATTCTTCTGCCTTGTTAGACGAACTCCAACCGCCCAGGCCCCAACCAGATGTCCCGGTTCCCCATCCACCGCCCGTACCACCCCCGGGTGCGGCGGCGGCGGCGGCGGCACCACTGCCCCACCCACCAGTAGCAGCACCAGTCCCAGAGCTACCCCAGCTACCAAGTCCGGTTCCCCACCCTCTAGCGTCGCCGCCTTTTGCCTTATTGCCCCAGCCTCCTCCCCAGCCACCGAGAAGGCCGCCGGAAGTCTCTTCCTCTTTCTTCTCGGTACTTGACCCAAGGACGGCATCGAGCAGCCCGGAACTCCCAGTTGCGGTGTCTAGCAAGGACGAGAACTCATTGTCAAGTGCGTCCTTCTTGGCCTCGCTATCAAGCGGCACAGATTCAGTCAGACCCAGTTCGACGTTGCTCTCAGCTGCTACAACTTCGGCACTTGTGGGAGCAGCTGCCGCAGGCTCTGGCGCACTGACGCTTGTCTCGAGAGCACCAGGTGGAGCAGGGTCAGATGCGTTCTCATCCCTAGTCGGCGTGACCTCCGCAGCCGGCTTAGGCGAAGATGTCGCTGTCGCGGATGCTTGCACCTCTTGGGCTCTCGGACTGGCCGTAGATTTCGGAGTGGAAGCCTTCTTCCACGGGGACGCCGAACCCCCTTGACCAGGTGATGAAGCCGCTGATGCCGCTAAATCTCCGCCCTCATTGGCGGGAGTCCGGTGAGCCGACGCTGGCGGCTTGGGAGACTTTCCTGACGCTGGGCTGAAGTCCTTCTTATCGTTCGTCGGAGTCCGCTGTGCCGACGCCGGGGGCTTCGGTGACTTCCCGACGTTAGGGCTCAGATGCGTGTTGTCAGCGCTGGGAGTACGTTGCACCGAGGCTGGCGGCTTAGACGACCTGATGCTTGGTGTCCTGGCGGCCGAAGCGGTAGCAGGAGGCTCGTACGACGCCTCTGCGATGGGTGGCATTTCTTCGACCTTCGGCGGCTCAGTAGGCACATCACTGAAGGTTACGATAGGTCCCTGATCTTTGGGAGTATGAGGAGCGGAGGCAAATAACGTGGAATGCGGCTCGTTAGAGGGGAAACCACCAGGGAGAGATGCAAAGAATGCGGTACGGGCAGCTGATCCTGGGGGCAAAACAGGACTCTCCGTCTTCTCTGCTGATTGCGAGATCGTCCGTGACAGGTTGGTGTTGATAGCAGCCTCGGCAGGCCTCGGCGAAGCTTTGGGCGGCGACTCTGCGATAACAGGTGAAGAAGTGACTGCTCCCCATACAGCTGACAGCGTAGCACTGAGACCACCACTTGCCGAGGTCGACTGACTGGAGCGACGAGATGATCTTGGAGTCTCTTTGGCCTTGCCTTTGTCCATGGATCGTGCTGCTTCACTGCCTACGCTATCGACCTTCTGGACAGGCCTGGCGCTTTCGACCTCAAACTGGCCAAGGTTTGACGGGGCACGTGAGACTGACGGTTGACGTTCATGGCTAGTGTGGCGGGATAATGTGCCCCGGGACGGAGTGCTGCGGGGCACCCCTAAGTACGCCCCGTTAGCGCTCGCAGCTTCAGGAGGCGTAGTTCTGCTGCTCCTGGTCCCGGAGGCGACGGATTCCCTCGACGCTGAAGGTGAGGCCGAAGCAGACGGTGCCCGGGACAGCACAGTAGCAACATCATCTTCCATATTGTCCGAGCCATCCTCATCTGCACGGTGACCGCTCTCATTGTAGATAATGGATGCTGGTCCGCTGTTGAACAGGGAACGTTAAGCTCCAAAATCGTCTAGAAGCATGATACTTACTATCTTGTCTTGCCCTGGATCAGGCCCTGCGTGAGTTTATGTTATTCGGGAAGAAGACAAGGACGCACGTTATCGACCCATTTGATTCTGGCTTTAAACTCGGTCAAGCCGAAATGAATCTCGATGCTGAACACGATGGTCCAGTACGTCTTGCCGTTCTTCCCTTGCTTGGGTTGCGCACTTCCAGCCAAGGGCGAGAGGTCTGCTCGGACAATACACAACGTGGAGAATACATCTATAGACCTGCATTAGCACGATGTCCCTCGGTAGTGCTTCTGTCAGAGGAACACGTACCTGAATCGCGCAGGATCCACTTAGGAACAACATCACCGCCTCGGTAACACCAGATCTCAACCTCAAAGACAGAGAGCGTCGAGAGACTCGTGAGTTCTGTGCAGTACTTTCTGCTGAAGACTGTTGATTCTTTGACACGCACGCTCTAGAGATTAGAGTAAGTCACAGTTATCTCCAATTGATCAAAATGAGGCATACCCGTGCTAAAATGCAGTCGAACGCATCAAGAAGCAATTTGGGGCCGGATGGAAGTTCACACATCCTGTGCTGGCGGGCGACGTGATCCGGGTCGTGAGGATCGAATTCCCGGAGGTACTCAACACCGTACATGAACTTGGACATGCGAGCAGAGACGTGGTGGTCACAGTAGAATCCAATGGCACCGTCAGCAACCGCCTTCGATCTATCAACACAGTTTGTTCAGTGTGTCGAGAACACTACTATGGCATATACTCACGTTTGGCTGTCGGGTCGGCTGACAGTCACGTTCAGAGGCGCCAATCGTTCTACCAATTGACCGAAGAGCCACGGGCTTGCCGCAAAACCGCCCACGAGCCAAACAGACTGGCAGAGAGAGGTGAATCATTACCTAGCCGCATTTAACACCTGAATGCACGGACCTTGACTACTCCGGTAGAAGCCTGCATTTGGGACTTGATGGCCTGCACAGCCGCCTCTATCGACGGTTCAAATAGCCGAGCTACCTCCTCCCTTCGTACGGGCGATTAGATACTGCAAATCCATCAAGGACGGTAAACTCACCCGCTCAGCTTCAGCTGACCTCCTCGTATGCCGACTGATAAGTCCTTGTCGAGAGGAGAGCCAAACGGAATGAATTGAGTATCTTTCTTGTCTCTGAACAGTCTCTTGGTTGTCTCGTCGAAACGGCGAGTGATATGGTCCAAAGAGTCTGGGGTGCCATATTTCGAGTTCTTCAGTTTCTCTAAGCAGAAAGTTAATATACTTTCGCCTGAGGAAGGCGTGTTCGGAAATTACCTTCGAGGAAGGCTCTCGCTCGTCGACTAACAAATACGGAGCCCGCGAAGATACCTATCGACTGATATAAGTGATCTCCTCTGCGGCTGCGTCGGTACTAACTTACAGTCTGGTGGGGCTATCTCCTCGATCACCAGCGGAGATGTACCACGTATCGCATATGAACTGATGTCCAGTGTCCCACCTCCTGCATCCGCTACTATGAAACCATGTCCTGATGGATCCTATATTGCATGACGTCAACTACCTCTCCCTTCGAGCTGCCACACAGGGAAATCACGCACCGACAGGACATCGGCAGCCAATCCGTTCAGGACGCATGCGTGCAAACTAGCTTCACCCTCCGTCACGAACCGTATGCGCGCCTTTCCTTCGTCCGTATCTGGAATCAATCCGCCGTATATGGCTGCGCGCCGCATCTTCGTCTGCTGAGCGCCTTCCCAGCCATTCGGATGACTGAGGACGAACTGAATGTCGTGCTTGACGTTTCGCCAGAGCGCAGGGCCGTTTGCATGGGTGTCCTCGATAAAGCTCCGCGTACAGCGGAACAAATAACCCAGGAAGTCACCGAAGACCTCAACGGGTGTTTTCTTGTTGGGTAGAGGACTTAGCCGCATGCCGTTCATCTGCAGCTTCATGGTCTTCGGACGTAATCGTAACTTGAACCTGCGCGATTTAAGTTATCATAGACGTGCAATGTCTGTTCATTCTTACAGTTCGGCTTTCGTCCACCCTTCATCCTCTGCCTGCGCTTCGACAGATGCACCTTCTGCCTCGGCTCCGGCAGCCATCATCTTGCCCTCTCTATCATAGTATATGATCGAGGGGATCTTGGAATTGCCGGCCACATGTTCTTGACCGGGGAATCTGCATATATGTCGCGTTGGACCAGCCTGCCTCATGCAATATGTGATAAACCATACCTCGTTACCCCATGTATCTTGGGAACCTCGCCTGGCTCGAGGATCGCATATGACACGCCGCTGAATGTTGTTCCCACATCGAGTGCTATGGCTAAGGAACGGCTAGTGCCTCTGTAGGGTTTTCTGGTGTCTGACATCGCTTTGGTGTGGTACCGCTGGCCACACTAGGGTTGGTGCTAGAGACGTATGCGGAGAAGAGGAAAGGTGATAAAGAGGCGAGAAGGTGATATATATGCGTATCGCTGGTGTATTCGGTCGATGCAAAATGATAGACACGAGGCTGCCATTTCTTTCAATCCTCATCTGGCCAGGCCATTGTTCGGGAAGGCTGTCTTCGCGGAGAAGCAAATGCCTTCCCAAGCATATCCATAGAAAGCGACATCAGATGCAGCAGGCAGGGGGACGCAGGACGGCATACAGGCACGCGTTTGCAGCGAGGACGCCGCGTGCAGATCCACCGGACCTTGTTTAGGGAGTCTCTGTGCATTACAGGCCTCTGCCGCACTACACGACGAGGGCAGAAATAAAAATCAAGATCCGTCATTATGTACCGTCTAGGTTATCGCTACAAATCTGCCGACTATGTTCCCAGCAGACGCCAATCCCGGTCCTGGAGACCCTTTCCTGCCTTCCGTCGAATATTGGCAATTTCGTAACCCCTCCTTGCATCGGCAAAATCGCACCGTCGGGCAAGCTGAGGCCTTTACTAGACGACAGAGGTCTGTTCGCGGGAGGAGCGAACAGCCCACCGCTGATCCCGTCAACAAACTGACTCGTGAGTGCGCATCCCTCCGTCTCAAATTGGCGACCGAGCGCCGGCATTATTGCGCGTCTCAAACCCCGATCAGCGACCGGAACGTCGTGGGCATGGCTTATGAGCTCGACCTGGCCAAAGATGAGGTGGGACGGCTGCGGGTGCAGGTCGTGACACTGGAGGAGCGCTGCGGGAGACTCGAAAAGACGCTGCAGGAGATGAGGGAGATGGTGAGGGCGAGAGATAAAGAACTTGACAGGCTGAAGAAGGAGCGGGACAGGCTGCTCATCGATCGGACTCAATCGCCCGCCATCGCCCACAATTTGAAACATGGACGAGCTGGCAAGACGCACAACGACAAGCAGGGATCAAAACACTCGATAGACGAGGATAGAGCCAGCCTGCGATACTCCAGGCAAATACAAGACGTTCATGGGCTGGATCTGCTGTCCATGTCGCCTACCAGTCTGGCGTTCGAAGAACAACGCGCCCGGCTGCAAAGCGCAGAGACGTTCATGACGAAGACTGATGCCTGGTCGGGCGCTCAGGTCATCCAGGCCGTGCAGGATCTCAATTCTGAGGTGCTGCAATACGCTGCATCCGCTGCAGAGCTGTGTCTAGCCGACTATTCTGCTAAGCCGCCGCCTGCCAAGTGCAGAGAGGCTACCATCGCCACTGCCTCCCGTCTAGGAGAAGGGCTGGCGCGCGTCCTGTCCACTCGGAATCATTCACAAGACCCCATCCTCGTGCAGTTCGCACTGCAAGCTGCCGTTATAGTCTGCACAGCACGCTGTTTCTCTTCCTTTTGCGTCGGACTGCCATTAAAGCCCGATGCCTTTTTTGCTCAAATATATCTGCAGATACGATCCTGCGGTGAGTTACACTCTGGCTATGCGTACACCTCACTAAGTTATACGTTCTCAGAACCTCAGCCTGTGTCTTCACGATGGCGCGCTCTGACTCACAGATACATCCACGTTCTGCACCCTCGCCTGGAAGAACAAGCGGTAGAAGAGCTTGTGGACGTAATATTCCAGTTGTGTGCAGACATCATGACTGCCGGCAAATGTTCCGTGTCTGTGTCCTCAAAGGAGGCACTGAAAAACCGCTTCGCCCCGCAGATCCGCAGAATCGTGCAGGCGGCGTGCAAGTTGGCACGGGTCACTAAAGAGGAGATCATGTCGACCAACTTCGAGTTCCTCACGGTCGACCCTGGGAGGCCGTACGACGCCGAGGACATGATCGACTCGTTCGCGGAGTACGGCGCGCCTACGCGAGGCAGAGTACTGTGTACGACAGAGCTTGGGGTGAGATGCACTACCGTCCGGAGGGCTAACGAGGGTGGCAAGGCCGTTGAGGCGAGGAAGATGCTGCTGAAACCCAGAGCCATATTTGACTCGGTAATACAGGTGCTAGGTACGGAAGGGTGATCGGTCGCGGCTCGATGCATTACATACCTTTCTTATGGATCCAGAGACAGTGATAGTATGGCAGGTCTGTACGATATTTGGTCTGTTTGTATGAAGAATAATTTAATGTAACTATTGACGAGGCAGATAAGCCGTCGTGCGCGACAGTACAACGGTGGCTTGCTTGGAAGACATCATCATGACTCGAGCTTGACGCGTTCCAACTGCGTTCTCGCTGCCTCGGTCTTCGTATTTCCTATCTGAGCGGAGTATTGGAGGTATATTTGGGTTTTGGAAATGCACGGAAGATCTCAGGCAGACTGGGCCGGCGATCTATGTCGTACTCAGGGGTGGTCGATTCAAGTTCTTCCTGCTGGGGAATAAACCGGCCGTCCCTTCTAAGACCACGTGGCCGTGTTAACTTCCGAGATGTGGCATGCCGATGTGGCAATAGCTTGGTATGTAGCAGCTGCTCAGATATCTGCTCTATTTTGTTGACACTCCAGGTCATTTCTAGTTGTGTCATATGGAGCCCGAACTGAAGACCTTAGGCTCTACTCCCATTCCGGCTGGCTTTTACGAACGCGCTGTCAGGGTCACCGGTCGACTTTCAACCTGGTTGCCCCTGAACTACTGACGAGCTGGCCTGGAGGTGGGATGAAGCGCAGTGAGATGAAGCGTATGGCTTCTGTGCTATGCCGTCATGGCTTTGTTTTCCCACCGGCACTGACATGGGTATCAGCGAGGTAATGCAATATGAAGGTTCTCGCTGATTCATTCAGAACACCCACGGCCTTATCCGCACTCATGATGCGCGCAGAACAATCGAGGGTATTATATCACTGCAGGAAAGGGGAGTTGCCGGTCAGACCGCTATGAACATAACATAACTCCGGGGCTCATTAACCGGCCATCATGTGCGACTGCGAGACAGATTCCATTGTATCTGGCAGCTTGGTCCTCGTCCTACGGCTCTACTCCCCGTCCTATGTGCTGTCTTTCCAAAAGGTGGGCACCCGTGCCCCCCTTTCCTGGGTCACCGCTCATCCGACGACTTACGCTCTCCGGTGCCCCCCACGCCCACAAATATACCTCGGTAGCTGTCTGATATCTCATGATGCTTACCAAGGCCTCATTAAAATGCGAGGGTATCGTGGTGACGGCGTTCATCCATACAATCTCAATGGCGCCCCATGACCACCGAAGGCTGAGTTTATCACTTTCCCCCACCCACCCGCTCACCCAGTTTGTTCCATTAGCCGATAACCTTCCGCGCAAATGTCAGTTTGAGTTATGCGTAGCGTCGCTGGCGATGGTACGAAGATTACAGATCAAGTCAGAGAACGGTCACGAAAGATTTCAGACACGGCCTGACAAATACCGGATATCCATGCCCCATATGCCCATATATTTCACAGCTTGTGCATCTTATTCGCGGTCGTCGAAGAGATCAAGAAGATATTTTAGACATAATACGAATACCAAGATTCCTATAAAAGGTGCGCAGCCTCCAATACGACGTCGTCACAGGAATCATATAGCCTTAAGAACGGCTCGACCAAGAGGTAATTATCGGCAAAAGAATACACCCGGCGTGTATAAAAGCGGTCTATTGCTCGTCCAAGTCCTCGTCACTGCTCGCGTCTATCTCATAAGAAACCGCCTCCTCGTCCTCCTCCGTGAAATACGACACGCGGACGTGCGGGCACCCTTCGAGTTTCTGCGTGTACACATCCCTGTCGTCCATCGCGATTACAAAGTGCCGTATGGGATGGCCTATGCTTTCCCTGTATTCTTTGAAGCCCCATAACTCAGCCCCATCCAGGCCGGTCGACTTGAACCATTGGAGGCGGGGGAGGACTATGTCCTCGTCCGGGGAAGGGGGCGGCTCGAGGTCGTACACCGTGACTGTGGAACGTGCGTCGTCGCTGTCGCTATCGTACTCTCCTCCTCGGAGCTCCCCGAATAGAGCGTCATTGACCCGCCGGAAATTAACTTCGAGCCCGGTCAGGTTCGGCACCGAAAGCAAGAGCCTGCGCCACGTCTCTGCAGTGCAATCGAGGGCCGTGATGTGCAGCGACCGGAGATTACCGAATGCAGGTGCGTCAGGCTTGCTGATATGGTTGACGAAGGTGTTGTAATCCTCCTCGTCCTCGTCCAATTCGAGATGCAGGTGACGAAGGCGGGGAAGGCTTAAGTGATCGAGCAACCGACATAAATAGCCGGACTCCATGCATTCTAAAGAGAGCTCGCGCAGCCAAGGTAGGGGTATCGGCTCGGCGTCCCAGGTACCGCTCGACTGGGGTCCGGAGTAGTTCAGGCGTAGCTTCTCGAGCTCCGGCGAGGCGCGCAGGATGCGGGTCCATACCTGGTACGTGGGGCGCACATCCTCGGCATGCGTGGCGAACTGCAGCTTCTTCAGTCTACGAAGATAAGGGGTGCGGTCCCAAACTAGGTTGACGCCAATAAAAGACACGTTCCGCAGCCGGGGCAGGAACTCGTCGAAGATGGTTACCGGGAGTAGTGATATGGATGACGCGAGGGTCTGTTCCGAGCGCCACTTCTGGATGTGGTACAGCTCGAGCGTCTCGAGCGCCGGCGCGGGCCCGCAGGACGAGGTCAGCGTCCTCGCCCACGCCTTACAGGTCTGATCGCGCACTTTGAGGATGAACGTGCGCCACCGCGCGACGTGGGGCGAGATGATGTCGAAGACGTCGCAGAACTCGCCCCGCGAGAGGGTCACACCAGGGACGTGCTCCTCAGCGGCCGCAGAGTCGACGACGATGTCGAGCAGGCGCTTCTTCGCGCGGCGCAGATACTCCCGCGCCTGCGCGAGGTCCTTGACTTTGGCGAGACGTATGCACGTCCAGAGCTCCGCAGTGCTGATAGCTACTTCCCTCCACTGATGGCAAACATGGGAGACGAGGACTTCGAAGCGCGCGCGGCCGAACTTCCTGATATGATACTCGTCAATGTCGTCATTAAAGCCTGCGACGAAAACGCGACGCAGCAGTTCGACTGGGAGCTTGGCCATGGGTGGCGGCGGCGCCTGTGGAGACCCGCTCGTAGCCATTGCCAGCGCTGGACGGTGGTTAAGCGTCTAATTCTGTACGACGCAGACTGCCCGTGATATACTTGCCTGTTTGCCAAAGTACCGAACGCCAAGGACTTCGTTGTCTTCTTGAGGACTGCGCGTGAGCTGATAGTGTCAATTAGCATCGCAGAATACGCGTCTTTGGGTACAGAACTGTGGGGACGTACTAGAAGCAGGGAGCCCAGCTTGCGATGGATGATTGCGGTTGATTGCGGGCGGGATGAAGCAGGCGGCTGATTTGTAGGAGGCCGTTCCGCTGGGCTCAGTCAGCGGTGCGCTGGAGGAAGCGCACTATAATTGGAGCCGGGCCTGACAAGGTACGCGCGAGCTTTAATCATTCAAGGCGAGGGCAGCTATCTGCTTTGGGGATCCATGACGACTTTACCAACCAGCCGCAACTGGGCTAATATAGCTTAAGATCACGTGTGCCTCAATTAATCGCAGTGATTACGTTAGGAGCTTCGAAGACACCGACCGGTCAGCGAGGAACAAGCCACCGCCACCGCCAGCGCAATTGCCTCGAGGCCTGCAGAACAGAAGCAAATGCAAGCGGAGCATGGCCGTGAGCAATGTTCTTGTTCTTCGACAACGGAAGCAAAACACAGCCCAGCCCAGATCTTCACAAGATCTTTGTCATGATCGCGTCCTCCTCGGGGCCGCCGGAGTTATAAATAACGCTCACACTTCATTTCCCATCATACAAAGTGCATCCAATCGAGATTCTGTTTGAAAACGGTACGTTACAGACATCCAAGCTCAATCAAAGTCAAAGAAATTTTCGGGAAATGGAAAAGCGGGACGGTATCTTCAATCAGTCAATTTAGTCATCTTGACATTCCGGACCTTGAAGGTGGTGGTACCGGTGGGGCCAGGCGACCCCGAGCTGCCTTCCATCTGGACAAAGGTGAGTAAAGTCGAGAGGGGGAAATCAGGGCCAGTCGTACCTGCAAATCAATGATGCTGGACGACGTGCGAGGTGGTAAGCGAATAATCCATCAGTCTAAACTACTTACAGATTCATAGCCTTTCCCCGCAGCGGTGTGCGTAGCCTGGAGCTTGTTGTCCAAGTAATACGAGATGCCCAGATCCTTACTATTCCCCGGGATGGTCCTCAGGACCGCCTTCGCGGCGTGATAGTTCCCGTCCGTCGGCCAGTCTACGATCTTGCTCGCAACCTGCCTGGACGTATCGAACGTGTTGAACCATAACTTCGCGTTGCCTACCACCCACATGCCCACATCAGCACGACCTCCCCTTCAAATTACCACACCGCACTTACCCTTCCATTCCGCGATATCCGACTCGGGCGGCCAGCCGCTCGCCGCGTTCAGCCAGAACGCGGGCCAGGTGCCCTTGGCCGTCGGCGAGACGAACTCGCCCTCGACCTGGTACCCCACCGCGCTCGACCCGTCGACGTTCACCTGCTCCTTCGCGTAGATCGTGCCCGAGTGGTACTTGATCCCCGACTTGGAGTCGCCCGAGTACGGCTGCGCGGTCAGCGTGAGCACGCCCACGGACGCGCTGACGTGGTCCGCGGTGGCGACCATGCGCGCGGCTGGTGCAGGATTAATATTACCGTCAGCGGGTAGATAAAGGGGAGCAGAAAGGTATCACCTCCGTTGTGGGTGTCACCCCACGGGTAGTTGTAGTTCCAGTATTTCTCGAGGTTCGCGGTGTTGTCGAACGACGAGGTCGGGATGGTGACAACGTCTGCGCTGACGGACGCAGCCAAGAGGACACTACCGATGGCCGCGAGACCAACGCTGGCGGTGATCGTCGAGAGTTCTACCTTGCAGATTTTCCAGCGGAGGGGGCTAAAATGTGTCGAGTACACTGGAGAGCCATGCCCCAACTCACCCCCGTTTTAAAGCTACCTGGGGGACACGAGAAGAGGGATCCTTCCTTCATGGCGGACCGGTCAATATCATGCATGTGGCACGTATGTCTTCCACTGATTTAGGTCCAAAGTCCAACGGAAGGTTACAGGACCGGCGTCAGGCCTTCTTCAGGTACAACCGTTCTAATTCCTTTCAAGTCGAGGATACGGGGCCGGTCGTCGGATAGCCTGCAGTCAAAAGTACGTGACCACGAGCGAAAAGCTGAAGACTGCCCCGAATGATGTTGCGATGGTAACTTTCGTCTGTAAATGGGCAAAATCGATAACGGAAATGGGTGCTCTGCACCTCACAATCAGGGCATCCGAATCCATTAATAAAGCAACAATCAGCCTGAGGCACCTGCGGTGCAACTGACAAGGTGGGGATCCCCGCATCAGAAAGAGAACCTGCGGAAGCATGGCACTCGGGACCGAGCTGGTCCAGATGCGCGACGAAGTGGTTCCTCAAAGTTCCCATCTCGACACGGTACCGAGTTCAGAAGTAAGTTCAAGAGAGAACGCCGGTCCGATCTAAGCCCAGCAGCCATCCGCGAACATGCACGCCCACGGCGAGAATCGTTGCCTCCGTGTGCATTCTTTGTATAGAGGAAGTTCGAACAGAGGATAGCACTAGGTCACGAGAGCAGAGGACATCAAATTACAACACGCGCCCCAAATACGGCCCGTTGCGCCAACGGTCCGAATTCAGCCCACCCAAGAGCAAAAGACAAGGAAGAAAGAGAAACTGATGGACCTAGTCCTAGAGCACTACCCCTCAATATGCCACCTGAGACGTCAGACCATCGAGCTCTCGCTCGTAGCACCGGTGCTTGCTGACCTCGAACGCGAAGTTGGAGATGAAATCCTTCTCCGACTTTGCGATCTTGAAGAGTTCCCCGGGGGCAGCGGGCGCGTCGTATTTACCAGTAGTGACAACCCCGTAAGACGACAGGACGACCTCGCTATTAGGCGCAGGCTGCAGTTCGACGCCAGGGAGGGCGCAAGCGTCCCGGATGAACGTAACACCTTCGCCAATGGCGCCGATAGCCTTGCAGTGACCGAACGCCTCCCGCACCCAATGAACGATCCGTCCATCCTTGGCCAAGGAGGCAGCATGCTCCGTTCCAGATGGGATGATCAAAGCATCGAACATGGTAGACCTTTGGGCTTCAAAGTGGTGATCTGCCGTCATACCTTCTCCCTCTCCAACCTTCTGTCCGGCGGGATAGACCTTCCCGCGACGCGGACCGATGAGCCAAGTGGTAGCACCACCTGCTTTGAGAGCTGCACGGATCGCCAGTACCTCCGGGCCGTTGAATCCATCCGCAGCAAGTATAGCGATGCGGCGAGTCTTGATGGTAGGTTCATCGGGCATGAAGTCGGTCTGGGAGAGGAGAGCACTTGTCTTCCCGTGGTTGGGTCGCGCAGGAGCATCGGGAACAATGCCGCCGACCTTGTGAGCAATCTCCTTGGCAAGGTCGAAATCCACATTATTGAGAATTTTGGTATAGTGTTTGTATACATCGGGATCGTCACAGTGGTCAAGCTCGAAGCCTATGGCGTTCTTCAGGTGCGCTTTCTCGTGGGGAGCGAGAGAATTATAGAACAACTGAGCCTGGCTGTAATGCTCCTGGAATTTCGCCCCTCGAACGCGTTGCTTCATGCCTTCGACCTTTTGGGCGTACCTTGAATAAACGTAAGTGAGTGGCGTATAGCGCTCGGAAGCGTGCAAACACACTCTGCATATCCGCCTTGGTGGTGCGGCACTGGGGCAAGGACGCCCTTGCGGTTGGGCCAGTAATTGATGGTTCCCTTAGTGATCTTGTGCCTCGACTTGCCATCCCGATGGTTGTTCAAGACGGGGCAGAGTGGGCGGTTGATAGGGAGCTGCAAGGCGTGAATAAGAAGGACAGTTCCCAGACAATGACCTTACCTCCTGCCAGTTGATGCCCAATCTGCTTATCTGGGTATCGAAGTACGAGAAATTCCTCCCCTGAAGAAGCGGGTCGTCGCTGAAGCCAATGCCAGGAACGACATGGGAGGTGCAGAACGCGACTTGCTCTACCTCGGGGAAGTATTCGTCTACCATGCGATTCAAGACCATCTCACCGATGTACTCGATCGGTACTTGCTCCACAGGCCATACTTTGGTAGCATCGAGAATATCGAAGTCAAACTCGTGCTCTCGAGATTCCGGTAGGACCTGGATACCGAACTTCCACTTGGGGTAGGCTCCGTTCTCGATCGCCTCCTGGAGATCTTTCCGGTGGAAGTCGGGGTCCTGTCCGCAAAGTTTCAGAGCCTCATCCCAGACAAAGCTGTGTACCCCGAGCTCAGGTGTCCAGATGAACTTGACGAAGAACCGCTCGTTCTTGTCATTGTGCAGTGTCCAGGTGTTGACGCCAAAGCCTTGCATCATACGCAAGGACCGAGGGATTCCACGATCGGACATGACCCACATAATCATATGAGATGCTACGAGACAAGTTTTAGTAGGAGTGATGTGGCTGGGACGATGCCTTGACTTGCCTTCCGGCTGGAGTCCAACGTAGTCCCAGAAATTATTATGGGCACTCTGGCCAGTCGGGACATCATTGTGAGGTTCTGGTTTGACCGCGTGTACGAGGTCCGGAAACTTCATAGCATCTTGGATGAAGAAGATCGGGATGTCATTTCCGACAATATCCCAGTTTCCTTCCTCGGTGTAGAACTTTACTGCGAAACCCCGAACGTCTCTGACAGTATCCTGCGCGCAAAGTCAGCATCGGGCGTATACATTATGAAGAAACGAAAAACGTACAGCGCTCCCGCGAGGGCCTTGCACTGTACTGAACCGCACGAAGACAGGCGTCTCCCGAGAAGCATCGGTCAGGACCTTCGCATGCGTATACTTTGCAGCACGGTCATCATAGACTTTGAAGTATCCATGAGCACCTGTACCGCGGGCATGGATGACGCGTTCCGGGATACGTTCGTGGTCGAAACGGGAAACCTTCTCGCGAGCGATGTGGTCTTCGAGCAGGGACGGTCCAGTGGTCGTACCTTCCGTCGCTTTGAGCCTGTATGCACGCATATAGTCGGTAAGATGGGAAGCGAGTGAGTATATGCGTACCAATTGTCGGTGTCTGAGATGTAGACGCCGAAATCGGTGGCCTGACCCTTGGCGGGCGTGTTTGCAGGGTCGATGGTGTTACGCTGCAAGTCCGCAATCTTGGCCGTATTGGTGATGCCAGTAGCAGTCTCTTTGAGTGCCTCTACGATGCGGGACATGGTGGGCGAGTGGCGGTGGGATGATGGGGGTGGAAGAAGGGGCGTCGCCCAGGGAGGGGGTCTCTTATACGGCCCAGGACGCGCTGGTGAAGGAGGATGTGACCATCGGGCGTGGCGAGGACAGTGACATCATACAGGCGTTGTAAATTGGGTGGAAGATCGTGTAGGTAAGTAGTCAGCGCAGGGCTAGGATATGTCGCGTGAAGGGCGAGGTGAAGAAGAGATCGTCGCGTCCAAGTCACTCAAGCTTGAGAGGAGTCCTTACTTGCGGGCTGTGCCGAGCACGTGCGTCATACAGTAGTGGTCGATCGAGATCTACCGAAGTCACCGTAGGACCTGAGCTGCTGCTAGTGCGAAAGCTAGTCTTCCACACTCAGTCTACATAGTTTTATCTCCTCTCAAATCCAAGGACTAGCCTTTCCATTAGCCTGACCTACCCAGGGTCGCTCGAGCGATGCCTCCGAAGCCGTCAGCACCGCAACCGAAAGCCGCGAACGGAAACGGAGTCGGGAGTGATAGCGTTATCCGAACGAAAGTGTTACTGACTGGGCTGCGCCGGTACGTGAAGTGTACAGGGGCTGGATACGCTATAGAAGTTTGACACTACGCAAGGCAGCTGCGGTAAAACGTCGATATACGAGGTCTTGTTCAATGGCATGGAGCCGAAGGAGACGTTCTACATCGAGACGACTACCAGGTTGACGAAGTATCACTACGAGTGCGTGGCGGGTCTGAAGAGCGCTCACTGACGACTTACCCTGTCTCAGTACCGTTATCCCCCTTGAAATATGGGACTGTCCATGGAATACAACACCAGAGACACTTGGGACATCGCTAGCGGAGTTCTCGGCCTTGGTGTTCATCATAGACATCCATGTACGGGAAGTGTCGGTGGCATCGAAGAGCGCAGCTGACCTAATGCACGTTCTGGTTGGTAGGACATGTATCAATCCCCTATTGCGAGGCTCCTCGAATACGTTGTGGCAGCCGCCTCTGAAAATCCCGACCTGAACATCGAGGTCTTCGTGCACAAATCTGAAGCACTCCCGGAGGATCTCAAGTACGGTAAGGGTATCCCTTTCGTGATTCATCATCGTGGCAGCGTCTCATACGGCTGGCCTCAGAGCACTTCCGCCACATCCAGACAAGGGTGCTGGAAGAATTGTTCGACGCGGAATACGACCAGATACCGCTCAACTTCTACTTGACTTCTGTCTACGACCATACAATACACGAGGCGTTTTCTCGGGTACTTCACAAGCTGATCGATTCTCTGCCGTATATGGAGGAGCTCCTGAACGTCTATTGCGCTGTAGGCTGTCCTTCCTTGTTTCCACCGGAGCTCCATTGATAGGGCTATTTCCAGAACTCACAGTCATCCAAAGCATTCCTCTTCGACGTTCACTCCCGGCTATACGTTGCTACTGACGCATCGCCGGTTGACACCGCTACTCATAATTTGTGTTGTGATTACTTACAGATGCTATACGCATTTGGCCCACTGTACAAGTGCGTCCGGTTATATACCGCTGTCCACAAGTTCCGCTGCTGACCCCCCGTTCAGGTCTATAACGGCCAGTCCACCTCGATCGCGGAAACCTCCCCCTCCCAGTCCTCCCAGTGCATCCCCCGCTCCTTCAACCCCAGCCCAGTCCTCCCATTCCAGCAAAGCCTCGCCCACGACACCCCCAGCCCAGCTGCTCCCTCAAGTCCATCAATCGAAAGAGCTGTTCTACCCCAGCGCATCGACATCTCTCTCAGCGGCATCCTCGGGTACGACGCTTACGTACCACCTCGTCACGCCCCAGCTGGCACTGCTGTCGGTGCTGCCGACGGCGGTTTACGAGACGCGGCGGGGGCTGCTGGAGTACAACGTCGTCTACTTTAGGGAAGGCGTGCAGGAGATCTACGAGGTCGAGCGGGAGGCGAGGGGTGATACGGGCAGCGGAAGATGATGGACGGAGAGTCTGGGACGGGGCGATCTTATCTTTTGTTGATGGGCAGTGTTATCAGCCTCGGACTGTGAATTTGATTTGTTGCTGCTCTTCGCGGGTTCTGTTGAGGTAAATGGGCTCGCGCCGGAGGTTATTTTAGAGTAAAAACGTCGGTAAAGGCGGCAACACTGAGGATATTCGCCAAAAATGAACTAGAATATACAGAGCGATAGTTACAAGTTATACATGCAGATCAGTGTCTACGGCGACGCTCTGCGGTGTGTCGACGGAACGGAGGCCAAACGGAGTCGGAGGTGCCTGTCAATCACCGCGATTTGACTAGGGTGCGGTGAATAAGTCGTCAGGACTTTGTAACATATGTTAATAACATGGCGCGCTCCGAAGCCCTTTTTAACAGGGTTATTAACAGTTAATAACATTTAGTTTGAAACGGGTTAATTACATGTTAAAAAGACATATCAACATTGTTAAAAACACTTTTGCAGTTTAAAATGCCTGGTAGGCCTCCACTGCACTCTCCGGGAGCTGTTTGACGTGCACTTTGCAAGCTGAAGTACATTAGGGGGTCTTTGCAACATGATGTCCCAGTGATATTTGACTTACGGGTACGGTCCTCTACCGGTGCATGGTGGATTCCAGGCTGCCGATAGGGGGGGTTTTTAACACCCAAATTGGCCTTGCCTAGAGGGGTCTGTTAATAACATGTTATTAACCTGTTATTAACAGCAGTTTATAACAGTGTAAATAATGAGCGACTTTTACACCG